TGTTGAAACTTGATATTAAGAATAACAAAGGATCATATGTACTATATATGAAGCATTAAATAGAATAAATTTAGTTTAAATATGCATATATTTAAGACTAGTAAACATGTGTTTTTTTGTTGCTTATATTTAGGATAAGAGGGATTTGATCCATCTCCCTACTATTGAGAAACTGAAGATCATTTTATTAATTTTAAGAGAAAAATATTAATGTCAAAGAGATATGTATTTAATATTTTTTAATTTAATGAAATAATATTTAATATTTTTGAGATTTCCGTAACTTTCTTTTATGGTGTGTTTAGATGAAGAATTTTACAAATTCAAGAAATTTAAAATTCTTGGTATTTGAATTACTTTGATTTCAATTTCTATCATTCTTAAAATATTTTATTTGGATAAGTCAATTTTAAATTTCTCAAATTTTAAATTGTTGGGTTGAATATGGTAATTTGATTCCACCATGATAAAATTGATTTTAAAAATATATTTATATGTTGATATTTTTAAATTAAATTAAAAAAAATAAATAATAGCTAATTTTAAATATTTAATAATTTTAAAAATTAATATTAGGTAATATTTAATAATTTAAAAATATTTTTGAATATTCAATAATTAAAAGAATGAAGAGATAAGAGATAAGATAAAATATATAAGTGAAATAAGAAAAACAAATATGAAGAATTTCAAATTCTTACTTTTTGGGAGAATTTGAAATTCTACTATTTCAAGGAATTTCACAAATACTTGAATTTCAAATTCCTTATAAATTCTCCATCCAAACAAAATATTTCACCTCAAAGAATTTTAAAATTTTAAAACAAATGAATTACTTCATTTAAATTCCCCATCCAAACACACTATTAAGTTTATTCAACGTAGTAAGAAAATTTGTAGGTTTGTAAACAACATTTGAAATTATAGATTTGTGTGTCAAAATAGAAAATATGCGGATGTTGTAATTTAACATTACAATATACTAGAAGTTGAAACATTAATATTAAGGGAGTATTTGATACACATAAAAAAAAAATTTCATGTCTGAAAATTATGATTTAGAAAATCATAAATATTGAGAATTGTGATTCCTAAATATTAAAAAAATTTGTTTGATACATCATCAATATTTCTGAAAATATTTATAAACATTATTTAATCAATGATTTTTATTACATTAAATAAATAAATGAAGGTAATATGACTTTTTTTAATGTATTAAAACTTTATTTTTACCTCAAAAAATTAAATCTCACCTCTCCCATAAGAACAATTTAAACTTATGCAGATATCATTTTTAAAAAATCATATTTCCTAATCAAAAACACCAAAACCTAACATTTCCAATGCCAGATTTATAAAATAGAATAATAAAAAAAATTCATGTATAACAAATGTCTCAAAAACAAAAATGTAGAAGTCACACGTGCGGGTCCCATGGCCATCTAGCTTCTCGGTCTCTATTTGGGGCTTTTTTCTCATTATGCTAAAAGAAGTTCCAGTTGCTTAAGAATTGAGACCAACTAATACTCGTTTATAAATAACTTGGCCTCTTAATTGACTGACGTATTTTTAAAGGACGAAATATGAGGTCTACACCACAGTCCAACACAGATAATATTTCATATGTAATGATATTAATAATACCACGAACTTGGTATATTGGAATAGAAAATTAGTTTGCTGGCCAGGACCTTGAGAAAAGGAAAAAAAAAAAAAACTTAGTGTATAATTAAATCTCATATTGAGTATATATGTCCCCTAACTCTCAAAAGATTGAAACTTGCGACGGAGAGTATATACCTTGAGGTCCCATTAAAAGGCAAAGACGTCGAATCCTGATGTTACAAAATAAAATAAAATAAAAATTTTAAAAATGTTTTAAGTGCATACAAATATGACTTTATCTTGTTTTAATTATTAAAATTTTATGTCATTTCTAGATCTTAATATTTTCTTAGTATTCTCTTTTATTCCTTCCCATCAACATTAGTTGAATAGTGCAAATATCTAGCAAAATGAAAATTATTAAGATAATTAAATTAAAAAAAATGTTTCAAATTAAGATAATTAAGTTATTTTCATGTGCCTAATTTAAACTATTAATGTGTTTCTTATTTTATATATAAATAAGATAATTACATATAATTTTCTTTTAATTAGACTAAACACAGTGGTTTACACTTTACAATATACTTGTTTCACCTTTCTTTAGGTATGCAGATCCTATTTTGAGATTTTCTTAACATATTTGGTTCAAAAAGAAAATTTTTCGTTATTTGTTTTTATATTTGTAGTTCATTTAAAAGTTCCAATAAAATTAGATAAAGATTTTTGCAAAAACATCTCTATAACATATAGGAATGGAATAAAAAGAGTCATATAAATATATAATGAGATTTTTCTTCTCTTTTTTCTCTTTCAAGATATATATAGCATAAAGAAATAAAACTCTCCTTATTTTTTCATATAATAACAATAACATTCACAAAGAAAATGAGGACAAAACATATAAATATGTAATTAGAGTTATAATGTTGGTAGCAACTTCCACTACAAAAAATATGCAATTTAGTATACTTTTAAGATCGGTTGATTTACTTTAGTTCAACCTTGATTTTTCTTCAATGCTTTATAATCACTTTGGCATCATCAAAACATTTGTGCATATTTTCTTCCACACAAAGTATTCAATGTGTGTAATAGGTTTTCATTATTTTGAATAAGAAGATCTCCAAGTATGTCAATTTGTCTTTCTCCATTTTCATTCAAATTCATATCTCCGTCTCTAATTACATGTATCCAATAACCAAATTATTTAATATCACTAACATTTTCAACTATTTTTGTTGTATTTGATCTCATATTTTGAATAATTTTCAAAATTTTGCATGTCTTTCATATTTCTAAAATATTCATTGTTGTTTTGAGATTATCATGTCTTGATAATTTTTTAACAAATGACAATATTTGTCTATAGCATAGTTATCAATCTCTAATAGCGAAATAGCATGATGACTACTATTAATATATATACAATAATAATAATAATAATAATAATAATAATAATAATGTGTATATATATATTATGCTATATTTATAATCTCAAAAATAGAAAAATAACTCAAAATTCATTTATTAATTATTTTGAATAATAATAGTTCATAGTACTTAAAATAAAGAAAATAAAAAGCCAAGGAAACATAGTGCTTAAAGTGTTAAATCATATAAAGCTAAAACCTATAGTAACTAAAGTACTAAATAACTAAAAAGTTATCATTAAAAGTTAATCTTCATCCTTATCAAGATCCAAGTCACCTTCTTAAATTTTGTCACTCCCACTAATATTATAATTTTATTCTTCTATTACTTCATCTTCACTTGGTTTATTTAAATCCTTTTTTCCCATCACTCCCATCACTCTTTTTCCTTTTTACTTTTCTAGATGTAGATGCAATTGTTGTTGCCTTCTTATTTTTTGTTTGTCTCCTAGTTTATTTTAAAAGTTCATCAACCCTAGTTGCCTTAGCAATATATGTCCAAGTCAAGACATCATCATAAGTAACCAACTCAACTTCAACATCATTGTCTTTATCCAAATCTCCAAAGATTCACTCATTGTTATAATCAATTCCATTTAAAGCAATAGGATCAATTACATCCCAACACTTAAGATATTCTTAAAGAGCTTGGTTATATTTAATATAAACCAAGTTTCGAAGCTTTTGGTGTTCAAACCTACTTCTTTTCTTCAAGTGATAATAATATAAAAAAACATGAATGTCAATTAAGTTTTCATTTCAATGATAAACTCAAATTTAAATTGTTTAATTGCACATGTATATTAACTTACATTCTCAAAGGCCCTCTAATTATGCTCACATCCTAATAAGCACTAGTGGAAAAAAAACTTTTAAAATCGGTTATTTTGGACTTTTAAAATCGGTTATGGAACCGATCTTAAAAGAGTCGATGTTGAAAAGGTAGACTTTTAAGATCGGTTATAAACCGATTTTAAAAGTATACTTTTAAGATCGGTTGATTTATAACCGATCTTAAAAGTCTGGACGGTGAAAAAAAATTAAACTGGAACGGGCCGTTCCAAAACTGCAAAAAGACCAAAAGCTTAACTTTCAGTACGGGGGGAGAACGTCCCCTTCCGTCGCTAATTTTAACTATTATTTAGCGATCGAATTAAATTCTGTCGCTAATTTTACCTATTATTTAGCGACCGAACTCAATTCCGTCGCTAAAAAAAATCAAAATTTATAATTTAGCGACCGAAATAGCGACCGAATTTAATTCTATCGCTAAATTTAACTTCTATTTAGAGACCGAATTCAATTTCGTCGCTAATTTTAACTATTATTTAGCGACCAATTAAATTCCGTCGCTAAAAAGAATCAAAATTTATAATTTAGCGACTGAAATAGAGACCGAATTTAATTTCATCGCTAAAAAAAATCAAAATTTATAATAGCGACCGAAATAGCGACCGAATTTAATTCCATCGCTAAAAAATCAAAAAAAGTTATTTAGCGACGGATTTTCTAGCGAGGACTTATTTTGGTCGCGACATCGGTCGCTATTTTGATTTTTCATAATCGGTCGCTAAATCAGTCGCTAAATAACGACTGATAAATTTCGGTTGCTAATTTCAGTCGCTATTTTGCAATTTTCTAGTAGTGTTCATCATTGTTGCAAAACTCTTCTTGTCATTACTTCATAAAACTTTTCTTTCTCAATTGCTAATAGAGATACTTGACTCCTTAAATCTACAAGGTTTATAACAACCTAATTATAAAATAAAACTTATTGGATATGCTACCACTAGTGTAAAAGAGGTATTTTACATCGGTTATTTTGAGGTTTTTATGTCGTAAATAAGTCCAACGTCAATGAGGGAGACGTAAATTTACGTTAGATCCACCATGTCCAACGTAAAATCTATTCCGACTATTCAGCCCTGCGAGCCTCTCGCGAACCCTAGAGTCCCAAACCGCAACCTCCACTTCGTTGCGCCAACTCGCTAGAGGAGGTGATCTCGCTGCGGCGCGCCTGCAATGTTGCCATGCGGTCGCGCTAGATGCGTTCAAAGACGACATAGTACTTGGCGGAGGAGGCATCGGGGACGACAACGAGGTACTTGACGGTGCACTCGGCGAAGACGCGGTAAGCGTGGTAGAGGGAGGCGGCGGAATCCAAAACCTAGAAAACCCAGAAAATGGTCATTGCAAGAACTAACCTTAAATCGTCCAAGTTCTTCGCCGAAATCCAATCGGTCAAAATCACCCACGGATGACGACAACCTCTTCGCCGGAAAATGCCGTCACTCTAAACGCCCAAAAGTACTCTAGAACCCTTCGTCGAAAATTGCCAGAAGAGATGCCCAAAAACTCATATGTGTATAATAAGCTCGCGCGCGAAAAAGACAAGGCGCCAGGGGAAATAAAAAGCTTTTTTACATTTGACTACATATATATAGGGATCTGACGTAAAACTTCAAATCTACATCGCCTGTGGATTCTATTTGACGTAGATTCCAAATTTTACGTTAGACCTTATGCAGTCCAACATAAAAAAGTTGGACTTATTTTCAAAATTGCCACCACGTCATTTTTACGTCGCATATTAGTATGTTCGATGAGATAACCCTGACGTAATATCTATATTTTGCACTAATGTACCATGGTAGAGCATTCTTCAAGATGATTGATAATGAATATTTACACCTTAATAAAATAATTGATGAGATCGAGTTGTCACTCTAACAATGAATAAAATTGCAACGATAAAAAATAACCATAATGAATAGAACACTAGGTTACACTTATTCAAATGAATTATTTTTATAATAAATAAATATGTAAGATATTTGGCCATCATAACTTCTTCCACCGTTGTTGTTCAACTAAAACAAAACAAAAATAAATAAACTTGTTTTTTTTAAGGAAAAAAGGGTTTAAGAAGTTTGTGTGGAGCTCTCTTCACGTCAAGACAAAAAAATCAAGGTAACCTCATCTCCCAATGCATGCAAATCCTTGAATTCAAACACATCTTGTTTTGTTATGAAATCAGAGGTATCCATGAACTAGCAGTAAAGGTTTACTGTCATATACTTTTAGACTTGAAGTGAAGGGAACTCCAACTTGGATTTTACACCCAATTACCCTATAGTAAACACTACTTTGATGAATAAACAAGAGATAGAAAAGTGTTGATTTCAATATGAAAAACCATCATTTGTATAGACAAGGAAATAAGTTTTATAAAATTTGGACTATTAAAATTATTGAACCAAATATGTTAAAAAATCTCAAAGATTAATGAAAAATGTATACAATATTAATTACAGAATCCTAGATTATTAATGCTACATTAACTTTACAAATATGGATTAATATTATGGAGTGATGTACAACTAAGTAAGTACTTTTAGGAAATTAAAATGGTACAACTAAGATAGGGGCACCACAATATTATTCAAGGATATATTCTTATGAGCAAGATTAAGTGACTCCTTTTTTTTTATATTATTATTATTATTTTATGAACCTATTGTATAGGGATGAATCTTGATATTAGGATGAAATAAATTATGTTAAGAAGGAAAAGTTCACATTTTGTATGTTTATGATTTTTGGCGAATATTGATCATTTTTTTGGGGGTGATCACATTTTGTTAATATTGTGGTAACCCACAAACAAATAAGTCTTGCTAACAAGGACAATGGTTAAGGAATCAATAAAGAATCTTATAAGAACTAAATAAAGTTACATGAAAGAATATATAAAGATACATTTTTTTAATAAAAATTTTCTTCTTTTGATTCCTTAAAGTGATCTAAGGGTACTAGTTAGCATTTTCTAAAAAAAAGTATAATTCTTTCTATATAGATTCAAATGTTTGTTTTTAAAATTAAATTATTTTAAGAATGGTAGAATTTGAAATCAAAGTAATTCAAATACCAAGAATTTAAAATTCTTTGAATTTGTAAAATTCTTCATCCAAACAAATTTGGTTTAATTTAACTATGTCAACTTCACACATGCATAGTATTATTAGGGCTGTTCAAAAAGGTTAAAATTAAATTAAATTATGTGATAAATAAACTTAATTATTAATAGTAGTTCATTTGCACTATACTAAACTATTAAATAATTTAAACGAACCAAACTAAATTATTTTTTAATTTAATTAACTACATTCTAAAAGTTTGAATTAAATTATACTTTGTAATCAATCGAAATATTTTTGTACTTTAAATCAATTTTTTTTTTTGTGATTTAATCTGAATGGAAGTGATTTTTATAGTAATTAATTTAGATTTTTAAAATCAAACTTAAAAATTCTTTGAAACATGTAGTATTATAATAAAAATCATTACATGTGCAAATTGAATACAACAATTGCGTAAAAATCATTATAACAACTTTTTTTATATATACGACAGTGCACTGAACTACTTTTTAAAAACTAAGCTTAAAGTATAGTTTAGTTTAATTTGTATAAAAATTAGTTCAGCTTTTTATAGTCTAATTTAATTTTAGTTTTTAAAATAATTTAGTTTAAAATGGTTTTTTGAACACCCCTACATAGTATGTGCCAAAATAAATCAAGTGCATCAAATACATATTGCATTGCGAGCAAAATGTCATTTTGAAATCAACTACTGTACATTATCCCAACTATAATATACTAAAAGTCGATAACACAAGTAATTTTTTTTTTTTTTTTTAAATAAGAGGTAAGTTATGTAAAGGTATTACTCTAGATCCATCTCAATAATGTTGACATTTTAAAGACTATGAATCATTTGCAATATGTTCAACGTTAACACAAATAATTCGGTACTTGTGTGTTCCTTAATAAAGAACTAAGTTCGATCTCTAACTTAGTCATAAATTATGATCAAATGTATTACTTTATTCCTCTATAGGAATTAACCCAATAAGAAAGGGATTAAACATTTTCTTTGTAAAAATACCTTCCTAATTACTAAGAAAAAGTAAAAATTCAGCTACATTATATGACAACAAGGTTCAGTATAGTGGCTGGTTAAGAAAAGTTTTATAATTGATCATATATATGGAGAAAATATTGTTTGAATTAATAAAATTCACTTGGATGATCTATATAACTTTTAAAATAATTAGTGTTGTGTGACTATATCAATCGAAGTGCTTTTTGTACGTACAAACCAAAAGGAAAAAATTAATTGCATTAAAAGCTTTATTTGGTTTCATCTCTTTACTTATAAGAAAAATCAAGAGTTATTAGTGTGCACGATACTTTTAATAACAGGTAAAAATAACTTTTTATATCAATTTTAGATCTATTATAGATTATGACAACATAGAAAGTCTTAACTTTTTATGTCGATTATAAAAATAAATGACATAATAAAAAGTATTGACTTTCTATGTTAATTATTTTTATAATTGACATAAAAAGTTAACAAATGCTTTTATGCAATTATCTTTCTCTTTTGTCACATCTTTTAGTATTTTGTTGTTATACTCTTTTCTTCTCATTGTCGCATCTTTGTGTTTCGTCATTGTCCTCTTTTTCTCACATAACATCTCTTCATGTTTTGCTATTATGCTCTTTCTCTATCGTTGCATCTTTTCGTGTTTCGCTTTCATGCTTTTTCTCTTTCATTGCATCTCTTCACATTCTCCATCGCTTTCTTTCCTCTTGTTTCTCACATCTTCTTTTGCGGCTATCACGTTTTGCATTCCACCACCACCATGTTTGCTTCTAAACCACCACACTATCAATATTTAAACAATAACAAAAAAAACACAAAAAGAAAATAAAATAATTTACCTAAATGTTCAAGAAAGAGGATGACTAAAATAATAAGTCAGAACTATAAATAAGAGTTTGGAACACGAATTGTATTTTTGATCTACAATTTTAAAGCACATTTTATGCCGGGTCTTACTTCACCCATCATAGAAATTTTTTCTATGAATATCATTACACTCGTCATAGAAAGGTTGGAGTCAAATTTTTATGGCAGATGCTAACTTACCTAACATAAAAAATCTTTTTATGACAGGTGAAACAAAACTCAACATAATTTTTTTTAATCATATTTACAATTGTATTACCACGTCACTTTCTATAATAATGATATTACATTAACCGTCTTCAAATAAATCCAATGTCATATACTAAATTTCAATTGCCCAAAAATTCAATTCGTCAAAGTAAAACTGCTTCATACCACAGATAGTAGATGGTAAAAATGCATTAAATGAGTATGCTTTGAGTGAGGCTGAACGTTCCAGCACACGTTTCAAGCTTCTAATGCTTTCTAGAGTTCCGTTATGATTGTGAGTTGTGACTTAGTCTAGCATCCTTCACTCTTATTAGACCATTATTATTGGTTTTTGATGTAGTAGTTGTTCGTTGAAACGTTCCACAAAATTACATAGGATCTTTTGCCAAACCATCTTTGGTATATAAAGGGAATTAGAACAGTCATATACATATATAATAAGTGATATAATCAATATTTATTTTCTCTTTTTTCTCTTTCATGATCAAGATGTATAACAGACATGAAAAACTCATTTTCTTTGCAACAATAATAACATTTGCAAAGGAAGTAGTTCAAGCATAACTGCATAGTGCAGATCATCCAAACTAGAGAGACAACATGTACAATTATAAAATAAATTGCTGAAACTCCAACTTCGTTAGCAGCTTCAAGACTTGCAATGGATGCTTTAATTTCTCGCTCGAGATAGTAATCAGAACTGAAACTTGACCTGTTGGATAAGTAAAGTTTATAACAACCTAATTATGTACTATCTCACTTCCTATATACAATTCATCAAAATTAAGAAAAATATTTATTTAATTATAATGTAAATTTGTCCTATTTATATATATATTTTTCTAAAATTACCCTTTTACTACTTATCTTTCCTAGTTAATACTTATATATTTTCTTACCAATTAAAGTGCAAACTTTATATTATTTATTTCTCCTAATTAATATTTATCTAATTTCTCCTTATCAATTAGAGTACATGTTTTTAAAAGGTTTATAATTAGTGCGTTTAACCAAATTAAGATAACACACTTTAATTAGGAATATTTTAGTCTATAAATAATCAATATATGAGATAATATGAATTAAACAAATGCTCTAACTATCACATGGTTTTCAATTTTGTTTTAAAATTGTACAATTAATCTATTTTTTAAGAACTTTTAATTTAATGATTGTATGGTTGAAATTTAATATAAAATATAAATTATTGAATAAAATAAATTTAAGACTTACTTTTGAAATAAGTGGATCCCTTCCACATATATACACAAGGTATATACTATATAGTAAAATTGAAAGAGAGGTGTTTCAATCATAAGTATGCTAGCTAACATCGTCAGGGTCATCACGTTCAAGATATTGTTCTCTTTGGGGCTTATTGGACCATTACGATTTTGTCTATAAAAGGGTGTCTCAATGGGCTAAGGAGATAAGGTGTTTATAAACTATCCTTAACATCAATTTTTATGTGATATGAGACTTTTAGACATATTAAAACAAGTCCCCCTAGTCAAGGCTAAGGGACAAATTGTATTATCCATGTTAGAACTCGTGTTGGATGGTCACAATTTGTCCTTGAAAAGGTGTCTTGATGGATTAAAGATGAAGAGTGATTATAAACTATCCTTAGCCTCAATTTTTAAGAGATATGGGACTTTAGGCATATCAAAACAAGAAAGATGTGTAAGCACGGTACTTAATAAGGATTTGAGAAATCTCTCTGGAGCTTCCTTCACTCCAATACTAAAAGATCAGAGTAAATTCATCTCCCAATTCATGTAAACCCTTGACTTTGAACACATGTTATTACAAAATCATAGGTATCCATGAACTAGCAGCAGAGATTTACCATCATATCCTTTTAGAATTGGAGTAAAGGGAACTCCAACTTGGATTTCATATCCAACACCTTAAATTAAACACTATTTTGATATTAGCAAAAGAGAAGTGTTGATTGCAATCTCTAGTCTCGAGAAAACCCCCATTTATATAGCTTGGGGAGAAGTTTGACAAGATTTGGACAATTAATTTTTTTTAACCAAAAGCATTAGAAAAATCTCAAAATAGGATCTTTGTACTTAAGGAAAGATAAAACAAGTATACTTCAAACCATTAGGATCGGCTCCAATAACACTTATTTTGAGACTTAATTAAAAGTGAAAATAATACTTATTTTGAGATTTAATGTTTTTCTTATACGACCCTTATTATTAGAAAGAGAGAGTAAACCGTAATTCTTTTTATAAAACCAAAATAACTACTTGTATTAGTTTTTATTATTTTGTTATGAATGGCTTACATTAAAGATTGAATGGAATAATTTATTTATTTTTTACTAAATTGTACTTTTCTCCCTTATTTTTGTTAATTTAAATTTTGATTTCTGTTTTAAATTAGAGTCATCTAATTCCCTAATTTAAAATTACATAATTTTGAACTTATCATAAATTTGATATTCGTTCACCATTAAGTTTAGAAGTTGACTTGTGATGTGAATTTTTTTTATTTAAATTGATTTTTTAATAGAATAGATTAATAAATAACATTATTCTTTACCGAATAAATAATATTATGAAAAAAATTAAAAAGTTATTTTTATTATTTTTTAATTGTTATTAATTAAATGCATTGTAATAACATTATTAAATGATTCCGTGTGCCTTAAGCTTGTTGTCCAACATTATGTTTCAACCTCAAGTTCATTATTTGTATTTAATTGCATTATTAAATGATTGTGTGCCCTGATTGTTTAACATTAACGTTTCAACATTAAACTTACAATATGAGTTATTGTCTAAGCACAAGCTTTACTTATTTATTTATTTATTTATTTTTTAATGGACATGGTCTATAAATATTTTAAATTTAACAAGGATTATTTTACATTTACGAGACACAACTTCTACTAATTAAACATTATTTTAATATTGTACAAGAATCAATCTTATGAACACGAGATCCACCTTATATTCCAAGACAAACTCCATAATCATTGAATAAAAAAACTTGATTTTACGCATAAACCTGAAAAGAAAAATAAAGGATACATTTAATTAATTAATTTAAATGTTATTGTGAAACATAAAAATCTTCTTACTACATTAATAAAAATTAGAAAGAAGATTACGAAGTTAAAAAAAAAAAAAACTTAAATACTATTTCATTAATGAAAAATATTAAATATTTATCTCTTTTTCATTAATTTTTTCTCTTGAAATTAATAAAATAATTATTTGTCTTGTATTTAATTGATAATTATAATTAATAACCCTAATATTAAATGTTTCTTTAAAAACTTTACCTTCAAAAACCCATTCTCAGATAATGTTTTAATTAATATTCATAATATATTAAAAATAAAACATAAAAGTAAATTATATGTAATTTTTTATTGATATTAAAAAAAGTAAATACATTATCTAATTGAACTAGACACATGAAAATAATATAGTTTTAAATTTTTTCCCATAATTATCTTAGTTAATATTTTTCATTTTATTATTCATATTAGTGTTAAACCAACTAGTTTTAAAGGTAAAATTAAAAAAAAATACTTAAAAAGTATCAAGATCGAAAAATAACATTAAATTTTCCAATAATCAAAATAAGATAAAGACACTGCGTGAATTTGTGATTTTTTTTATAGACAAAAATAATAGCATCAAAAGGAAAACTAGGCACAAGTTGTGCATTAGTTGCCTACAAAAGGAAGTTACAATATGTTGTTGCTTTTAAACAAAAAGCCTACATTACTACAAGACGTATTATTAATATCGATTTTGTGATTTCTTTTATATTAATTTTGAAATTAATGTAGAATAAAGTGACGTAAAAAATGTATAGTCTTCTACATCAATTTTTAAATTGATATAGCATTTGTATATTTACATTGTTTTTTTTTTAAATATGTAGATTTATACATACATCTATATTGATTTTTTTTTATTTTTATAAACCAATGTAGAATTATGTTCTAATCTACATTAGTTCATACATGAACCAATGTAAATGTTTCATTTTTTTTGAAAGATTTTGCTTACATTTTGGTTCTTTGTGTTTTAACTTGTAATAAAAATATATATATAATTCCCAGACAAATTGATTTACACATCCATATTTTGTTTCGTTTTATTTTAACTTGTAATGAAAACATATATAATTCTCAGGTAGATTGATCCACACATTCATATTTTAATACACACATTTAGACCTATAAAGACAACTAATAATTTAAAGATGAACATTGGAAGCAAAAGGTGATGAAGTTGACAACCTCATCTTCTACCAATAATTGCAAAGATATGCTCATATTTCTCGTCATTGTAATTGAAAGAAATTTGAATAATCTTTTTGGCCTTATCTATATCAGTATAAAGGTAACCCATTACAGTTTTTTGTTTCATTATCCACCAACCTCTACACATGTACAATATAGGCCTTATAGCCTTTAAAGCATACAAAAATAAAAAAATTAGATATGCAAAAATAAAAAATTACACAGTTTATTTCTAGTGTAGGAATATAAAACTCTTTTTTCTCATCAAGACCGAAAAAATTTCCCAAATTATGCTTTCATGTAACCACTTTATTTTATACATAGATTATTTACATTAAAAAATTGCTTTATCACAAGTAGATAAAACCCATAAACTATTACAACAAATTGAATTGGGATATCAAAAAGGATTAACATTCCTACTAAATCTATTCTTATTGGTGAAGAACCCAATTAAGTTTGGCCTATAAGGCAAGAATGATTTTTGTTTACTATTTTCCATCCTCTTTCTATTCATCACATAAACCTTCTCGTGAGGAGATAAAGTTGTTATGCATTTACCATCCTTTCTTTTATTTAGAAAATTATTTTCTTTCTTCAAAGGACTCAATAAAACAAAAGCATCTTGTCCATCACTATTTGTTTGAAGCTTAATGTCTTTGTGAAATCTCCATATCTTTGAGAAACCTAAAGATTTGCTCTTCTTGCATCTGAAATTCGAAGCATCCATTTCAACCATTGTAACTTTTGGTGAAGCCTCGTTGCATGATCCTTTCAATATATCTGTTGATTGAAAGGAAAAGCTATTGGGTTTCTTATCAACAAAAAGCTTCTTTAATGGTAGTTGAAGAGGCAAGTTGTTGTATTCATATGTGGTGGCAAGTACAATGGATTGATCAAAAGTAGCGAACGATTGTCGGATCTTTCCATTGTCAAAAATTTCATCAGCAAATAATATAGGTGTTTCTTGGAGTTCACTGCATGTAAAATTAAATTCTAGTTCTTCAACATTTTCTTCGCTGTCAAAATATATTTTGTTTTCAGCCATGAATTCTGAGTCTTGTCTTAAAGGAATGCAAGTAGAGTCATTAGATTTGGGAAATGAATTAGGCATTTGTATCATGGACAATGCTTGCACTGTCAATTTCTTAACAGCCTCGTTCTGCATGTTGTTCTCAATTTTTGAGTGTGTGAATGGGAAACAAGGTGAAACTAATAATGGAAGTGATAATGAATTTAGAGATGAAAGATATTTATACATGCGTTATAATGTTAGGTTCATTTAACAATTTTTAGGAGGTGGTTGGATAGGGAAGGTGTGGAGAGCCAACATAACTATTGGCAAGTTATCCCTTAAACTAGTTAGATAACATTTTTGTGTCGTTTATTTTATTCACTAATAATAGATTTTGGTTTGTTATATATTATTTTCCTATTTTACTCACTTTGCAATTGCTTCGCATCTTAGTAACCTAAACTTACAATAACAATCCAACTAAAAGTGCAACTTCCTTTCTTAACTTATGGGTTGCTTCTCATTAAAGATACAAAAATACCTTTTTAAAAAAATTGGGGTGTTACAAAAAATGTTTAATTGTTGGAAATTAATCAACACATCTAAGTTGAAAATCTTTAGCGTTGTTACACAAAAAATCATGACTTATTTCTAAATTTTTTTAAGAAATTTGCCCATTAACTTTGAATGTCTTCCAGTTTGATTTCCGACAACGGTGCTACATCATGAAAAAACTGTAACATACAACATGATATTAGTTAGATCATAATCATTAAAAGAAATTAATCAATGTTGTTAAAGTAAAAAAATTATACTCCCTAATAAAAAAGTAAAAAATTATAGTATCCCAATTCAATCATTTGTTATCTCCCTTCCAATTATGTCTAACATTCAATTCATCATTTAGTATCAACATTCATAACCTCCTTGTCGCCAATTACTCTAAAATGAATAGAAAATTGATTTGTATTAGTAATTTTTTAATTAAAATAATAAAAGGCATTTTTTAGACATATATATTAAGGTTACAAACCACTTACCATGGGATAAATCCAATCTAGGTTCTTTGATTGTGTCGTAGACCTACCACCCATGACATTATATACGACTGTCGCAACCCAAAAATTTCTGATCTTGCGACCTATGATTTAGACATCCTTTTGAAAGTCTCATCAATTAAGGAATGCCCGGACACCAAACTAATCCTTAATTAATGGTTTTGAAAATAGGTTCATGGAGTCGCCACCAATGTTTTACTCAAAACATTAGAAAAAGAAAAGGTTTTTAAAGGTCCAATAATGACCTTGATAACCAGAATTGGGTTTGGTGGTCGGTTACATGTATGTAGGGAAGGTATTAAGCACCCATACAACGCCCTTAATCGGTACCCTATGGCGAAGTTAACATTATAAACAATAATAATATAAATATTAAATCTCCTTTTATTGATGATTATTTACATGCTTGAAATTTAAATTAAACAATTAACTCTAAAATATCTACATGATTATTTTTATTATAACAATACTTATCAAAAATAAGAAATAAAAGAGAGAGAAGAGTAATTGAAATACCTCGTAGCAAGCTTTGTTAAATCTTACGATATGGAAATTCTAGGTGCTTTGTGGCAACCTTTCACACTACACAAATGTCTCACAAATCTCAAGAAATACAATAGGAGATAGAGAGAGAAATTTTGAGCTCTAAGGAGTCTTGAACGAAATTTTGAGGCCCTGAGAATTGTGCCCAAGCTGTCTATTTATAGGCATCAGAAAGTGGCACTACTACAAGGACGCAAATCTACATCGGTTCTGGAAGGTGATCTACATCGGTTTTATAACCGATGTAGAATAGACCGACGTAGTAATAAGAAAAATTCTACATCGGTTCTTAAAACCGATGTAGATTTGAGTCTACATCTACATCGGTTGTATGGAAAACCGATGTAGATGTAGACTCAAATCTACATCGGTTCTCCATACAACCGATGTAGATCTAGACTCAAATCTACATCGGTTCTAAGTAGAACCGATGTAGACGTTATTAAAAAAAAAAATTCTGTTATTTTTTTACATTCCTTGTGGGTTACCTGTATAAACATATTTTATTTATAACAGCAAACCAAAACCCAGAAATGCAATCAATTGGATAGGACCATTCTATTGCTGCAGCCATTGTGTATTGAATTTTGATGTTTATGTTCAAATTCTAGCCAGTAGCCACTAATGCAATGAATTCTATCCCTTAAACAGTTTTGGAACCTTCCTCCATAAACAGAAATCTCCTATACTAACCAACATAACCAAATTCCATGAATCAAAAACCGGAAGAAATAGAAAAACAAATCAATACACACATGTAGATTATACCCACTTAAATAACTTATATTTGTTATGAACGATGATTCAGATAGTTTCTCTCAAGGTTTACTTAGTAGTTTTAGAAAAAAATTCTGTTTCCATCAACAAAAAATATCTGTCTATTTTTTCCATTTCAAGAACAAATTGTCTTCAGCAATTACAGTATGATTAGTTAAATATTTGTGACATAAAATTCAATATATCTTGAATTATGAATAACATTTACTTTAATACAGTTCAATATTCCGCACATAAAATGTTTCTAGTGTAGGTTGAAGATCATAAGTAGTTTATTTGTCAGAAGTCAGAACAACCCATGAGAAAACAACAAAGCTTCTTTCATGCATTGGGGTAATCCTTACCAAAACTACAAAGCAAAGTTATTGAAAATCATAAATGAAATATACCCATTTTACCATATTGAGACTTTTAAGCTTTGTAGTTTGTGACAATCTTTATGGCTTATGAGAAGTCTACCCTTAAATCCAATATTTCTTATCTTTATATTAAAGTTTGGCTTATGGTACACTATATAAAACTACGTAAATCTGTTTTACCATATTTGATTTCATTATACACCAAATAATAACTACACTCCACTGAAACTAAACAATAACTGCCACGTACACAACTAGACTAAATGTAGTTCCAAAAATAAAATTCAACTTTAGCACTCAGCATTTAAATATAATTATCAAAATGAATGAGGATATAAACATAAAGCCCCAAACCTGGCAAGCAAATGAAAAAAAAGTAATAAGCATGAGCTATTGTGAAGAACCTGCCAACAAAAGAAAAAAATAACAATAAAATGAATAAAAAAAACTAGCTAAGTATAAAGATCATAACTTGAGTGTATATACTTCAAGCCTCGAAGAAGCTGATAGAGTTTAAGGTACCTTACTAAGAAGATATCACAAACTAAGAAGTGTTGACTAATGGATGTCAAGAAGAGAAGTATCACCCTCTGCACACTTCCTGCCAAATCAAAATCAAGTTTAAGATTTATGCTAGTTACGGATTCCATTTATATTAAAGATATATACAATGTCAAAGCATATAATCCCTTGGCTAAATGTACAATTTGCATTAACATTAGAAGTGGAACGTGAGGCCTATGATTTCTAACACATCAAATGTGTACACCAAATATGGGTCAGATTCACCATCTTCCAACTTCCCAAAGTCAAAAGACCTCTTTTCCTATAACCTAGTATATTTCTATAATTATCCACACATCCGCCTAACGTTTCCCTATACCATAACCCAAACTTTATTCCTTAATACATAATTCCCCATGCCATAATAATATTTAAACCAATTGAAAGAAAACAATACAAAACATTTCTAGCATACTAGTGCTCAAAAGAAACTAAAATACAAGACGAGCCTTAACAAGGCATGCCCTAAGGATGCTTATCCACTTCCAAGCATAGATCGGTTAGTTGATGGCGCCTCGGGTCATGGAATTTTAACTTTTCTTGATGCTTACTCGGGATATAATCAAATTCCCATGCATCCGCAAGATGAAGAGAAGACAACTTTCATAACTGATTCGGCCAATTATTGCTATCAGGTAATGCCTTTTGGATTGAAAAATGCAGGAGCAACGTACCAGAGATTGATGAACAAAGTTTTTCAACACCAAATAGGCAGGAACATGGAGGTATATGTGGACGATATGGTTGTAAAATCCAGAGATGTTGATCGACATGTAATGGACCTGTCGGAGGCATTCCAATAGTTGCGCAAATACGACATGAGACTCAACCCGGAGAAATGCGTATTTGGAGTATCCGGGGGAAAATTCTTGGGCTTCATGCTGTCGACAAGGGGTATTGAAGCAAATCTTGACAAGTGTCACATCGTCGGGGTCAGAAATCCCCTCATCAACATATACTTCAACACTAGTTTCTTGTTGAAAAGTTTGATGGGTAGGTTTTCCATAAGCATCATGATCAAAGAGCTCCTGAAGAAACCTCAATGCATTTTCAGGTCTCTCCATGCCATAGTAAACATAGTAGTATCATACATGATGAATCCTCATACCAGGTGTTCCCCCGAAAGGCATCATGAAAGTCACATTCACCTCTATAGTGATTTGAGGTTAGGACTGTTCTACTAAGGTTTACTAAGAACTTATAATAACTAAAATGTACATGATTTCTGGCTTTATAGGCTTCCTCATAGTTGTAATGAAACTCAATGAGATGAAGGGTCCTTTGGAGTGTCATCATCTCCTAAAATATGGGTTGTAAGGGTGAGTTTCCCCCACTCTTCAAACTCCACAAACATAATAACAAGCATATAGTAATACATCTTAAAATAAACCAATACACTATCACTCAACAATCTCTAATGGTT